GCAACCGTTGTTGCAGAAGTTCGAAGCACGTGAAAAAGTTGCTCGCAAGAGCCCGTTTGACAGAAATGTTGAAAAAGTACTGGGTTTCCTAAGAAATCCGCAAGAGCGCGCGGGGTGAATTTTTGAAACCATTTTTTTGAAAAACCATTGGGTTTTCATGTTTTTATATGAAAATCGCTACAAAGACTAAGGTTTTGGAAGGATTTCGTCTTGCGCGCGCGAATGTGCACTTCGTGTCATTTTTTGCAATGGATTCTTGAAGTTTGGTCATGTTAGAACAAGAAATGTCAACTTTGCCTTATTTTTTGCAAGGGGAAACCGATCGTAACAACACAACCGGATCTGGACCACATCGTTTTGCCTGAGGCTTCCTCACGAAAATTATGAAAATGAGGCTGCGGCCTAGGCGCGGCGGGGGGGGCGCGCACCAGGGGCCCCAACAATAATTATTCTTTAGAATTAATAATGTTCAACAACAACAACAACAACAACAACAATTACTAGCCCGTGGGGACACTCCGTGCTCACCAGTGCCAGGGTTTTCATAGGAGGCGGGCAATACCCCCACTTTGTGGGGGGGCCGGTTCAAGCTCTACAAAATTTCCAAACGACTCTTCGCCACCACCACACCCAGCTTCCCGCCCTATGACGTTCGGACACTTCACTTCGTGGCATGCGGACGACCGTGGCTACTATTCAGGGCCCCGCGGCCGAAGACGACGGCGTGCGCGCGCGAAGAAAAAACGAATGTGTCCCGCATGGTATTATTTGACAGGGATGATGGCCCTGGCAGGTGCGCAACCGTTGTTGCAGAAGTTCGAAAAAGTTGCTCGCAAAAGCCCGTTTGACAGAAATGATTTAAAAGTGTTGGGTTTCCTACAAATCCGCAAGAGCGCGCGGGATGAAATTTTGACATTTTTGTTTTTGAAAAAAAACCATTGGTTTTTTGATGTTTTTATGTTAAAATCGCTACGAAAACTAAGGTTTTGGAAGGATTTCGTCTTGCGCGCGCGAATGTCCACTTTACCTTATTTGTTGCAAGGGATTCTTGAAGTTTGGTTATGTAGAACAAGAAATGTCAACTTTAGCTTATTTTTTGCAAGGGAAAACACCGATCGTAACAACACAACCGGACTGGTACACAGCGTTTTTGCCTGAGACCTTCTCACGGAAAAGAGGAAAAGGAGGCCTGCGGCCTCGCGGCCTACGCGCGGCGGGGGGGTCGTGCACCAGGGGCCCCAACAATAATTATTCTTAAGAAGAAATAATGTTCAACAACAACAACAACAACAACAACAACAACAACAACAACAACAACAACAACAACAACAACAACAATTACTAGCACGTGGGGACACTCCGTTCTCACCAGTGCCAGGGTTTTCATAGGAGGCGGGCAATACCCCCACTTTGTGGGGGAGCCGGTTCAAGCTCTACCAAATTTCCAAACGACTCTTCGCCACCACCCACACCCAGCTTCCCGCCCTATGACGTTCGGACACTTCACTTCGTGGCATGCGGACGACCGTGGCTACTATTCAGGGCCCCGCGGCCGACGACGACGGCGTGCGCGCGCGAAGAAAAAACGAATGTGTCCCGCATGGTATTATTTGACAGGGATGATGGCCATGGCAGGTGCGCAACCGTTGTCGCAGAAGTTCGAAAAAGTTGCTCGCAAAAGCCCGTTTGACAGAAATGTTTAAAAAATGTTGGGTTTCCTACGAATCCGCAAGAGCGCGCGGGATGAGATTCTGACATTTTTTTGTTGAAAAACCATTGTTTTTTGATGTTTTTATGTTAAAATCGTTCCGAACACTAAGCTTTTGGAAGGATTTCGTCTTGCGCGCGCAAATGTCCACTTTACCTTATTTTTTGCAAGGGAAAACCGATCGTAACAACACAACCGGGTCCGGACCAACCCGTTTTGCCTGAGACTTCCTCACGAAAATGATGAAAACGTGGCTGCGGCCTAGGCGCGGCGGGGGGGTCGCGCACCAGGGGCCCCAACAATAATTATTCTTTAGAAGTAATAATCTTCAACAACAACAACAATCACTTTACCCGAACGCTCAGTGTTCTCACCAGTGCCAGGGTTTTCATGCGACGCCAGCCAATACCCCCACTTTGTGGGGGGGCAGTGCAAGCTCTACCAAATATCCACACGACTCTTCGCCACCACCCACACCCAGCTTCCCGCCCTATGACGTTCGGACACTTCACTTCGTGGCCTGCGGACGACCGTGGCTACTACACTGGCGTGGAGTACACACCCACAGAAGTTGTTAAGCCTACGTTCGTACACCCACAGAAGTTGTTAAGCCTTGTTAACCCACAGAAGTTGTTAAGCCTTCCACAGAACATCTGTTGCATATGATGCATATGGTACATGATACACATGATACACATGATACGTACTCACAAGATAGTTGATCACATCTTTAGGGCAAATTCCTGAGGGATGTGGGAATACACAAGAGAGAGAGGATATGGTTGTCCCGATGGTTGTCTCGATGGTTGTCCCGATGGTTGTCCTGATGGTTGTGGTTGTCCCGATCGTTGTCCCGATGATTGTCCCGATGGTTGTCCTGATGGTTGTGCTTGTCCCGATCGTTGTCCCGATGACTGTCCCGATGATTGTCCCGATGGTTGTCCCGATGGTTGTTCCGATGGTTGTCCCGATGGTTGTCCCGATGGTTGTGACTACGGTGCGATTCGTGTGATTTTATGATGCGCGGTGCTAAAATTCTTAAGAAGCCCAATGGTTTTTGGAGATTTCGGCGTGCGCGCGCGAAGAAAAAACGAATGTGTCCCGCATGGTATTATTTGACAGGGATGATGGCCCTGGCAGGTGCGCAACCGTTGTCGCAGAAGTTCGAAAAAGTTGCTCGCAAAAGCCCGTTTGACAGAAATGTTTAAAAAGTGTTGGGTTTCCTACGAATCCGCAAGAGCGCGCGGGATGAGATTTTGACATTTTTTTGTTGAAAAACCATTGGTTTTTTGATGTTTTTATGTTAAAATCGCTGCGAACACTAAGGTTTTGGAAGGATTTCGTCTTGCGCGCGCGAATGTCCACTTTACCTTATGTTTTGCAAGGGATTCTTGAAATTTGATTATATTAGAACAAGAAATGTCATTTTCTATTGTTTTTTGCAAGGGAAAGCGGATTACAACAAAACAACCGGATCCTGTACACACCCTCTTTTCTGAGGCTTCCTCACGAAAATGATGAAAATGTAGCTGCGGCCTAGGCGGCGCAGGGGGGGCGCGCACCAGGGGGCCCAACAATAATTATTTTTAGAATAAATAATGTTCACAACAACAACAACAACAACAACAATTACTAGCACGTGGGGACACTCCGTTTCTCACCAGTGCCAGGGTTTTCATACGACGCCCGCCAATACCCCCACTTTGTGGGGGGGCCGGTTCAAGCTCTACCAAATTTCCAAACGACTCTTCGCCACCACCCACACCCAGCTTCCCGCCCTATGACGTTCGGACACTTCACTTCGTGGCCTGCGGACGACCGTGGCTACTACACTGGCGCATGGGTACAGTGACTTGTTGTGGTAACATTTTCTGGACGCTAGCTTAGTATACGACTTTTCCCCCTGTTCCAACACTGGACACCTGTACTGCAAAAGCCCGCAAAAAAGTTGCTGTGTACTGGACACTGTACTGGGCACCTCCTGTTCGAAGCACGTGAAAAAGTTGCTCGCAAAAGCCCGTTTGACAGAAATGTTTAAAAAGTGTTGGGTTTCCTACAAATCCGCAAGAGCGCGCGGGATGAAATTTTGACACATTTTTTTGAAAAACCATTGGTTTTTTATGTTTTTATGTTAAAATCGCTACGAACACTAAGGTTTTGGAAGGATTTCGTCTTGCGCGCGCGAATGTCCACTTTACCTTATTTTTTGCAAGGGATTCTTGAAGTTTGGTTATGTTAGAACAAGAAATGTCCACTTTGCTTATTTTTTGCAAGGGAAAACCGCCCGTAACAAAACAACCGGATCCGGACCAACCCGTTTTGCCTGAGACTTCCTCACGAAAATGATGAAAACATGGCTGCGGCCTAGGCGCGGCGAGGGGGCCGCGCACCAGGGGTCCCAACAATAATTATTCTTTAGAAGTAATAATGTTCAACAACAACAACAACAACAACAACAACAACAACAACAACAACAACAACAACAACAACAACAGCAGCAGCAGCAGCAGCAACAACAACAACAACAACAGCAACACAACAACAACAACAACAACAACAACAACAACAACAACAACAACAACAACAACCACGACGACGACAACAACAGCAGCAACAGCAGAAGCAATAACGACAACAATGACAACAACATGTTTGCACTCTTGTATGGCCCGACGACTTATCCAGCTAAGGCGTAGCCTGTCCACACCCGCTGCAAGGAGCATAAGTTTTCTCCTCGGCTTCAGCGCTTTGAAAACTTAATTAGGACTGGCCTGCCTTAATCTGAACAAGAACACGTCAAAACACGCATCAGACACAGCTTACATTGTGCAATAACGCACGCAATTGAAACACGGAACGCCAATTACCGCACGTAGGTGAAACTGCTGTGACGAGTTCATGGTTGTTCCTCGGGCGCAAAACACGTGATGGTACACAGATCCGAGCTGCAATCTGCAGGCTGCCAGCTGTCGCAACATTACGGCGAGGGAGTAACTGCAACGCGAAGTGAAAGTCTATGCAACATGCGCCGAGGGAAGTGCAACGAAGGCGAAGGCAGCATGGCCTGTCCTGCAAATCCTTCCATCTTCGCCCACGGCTCATTGCAAGCCTCCTTCCCTACCCTCCTGACTTTCTGGCACACGTTCCCCCTTGTCCCTGCGATCCGCCTCCGTCCACCAGCCCCCGTCCCTTATCCATCCCGTCCCCTTCCGCTTCCGCTGCCCACCTGCGTCCCTTCCTTCCTGCCCACATGGCATACAGAGGAGGCCACAGCCGCACCCAGCTAACAGACCTCGTAGATCGGCTCATCCTGGCAGGAGTGAGAGCTGGATGGCACGAGGCAGGGGACGAGGAGGGCAGAATCCCGCCAGCCTTTTGGGCTAAGGTGGCCTAACGATTATCTGTCTTTCCCCTTCCCTTCGGGAAGGGTACCCTCCCCTTTCCCCTCCCCGAAGATGTTTGGGGCGGGCCGCGATCGGTTAGGGCACACAAGATGGCCCAAGATGGCTCCAAGAGAGCATACGACGCTCCAAGATGGCCTCCAGGATGGCCTCCAGGATGGCTCCATGTAGCCGACGACGGTTCGAGATAGCTCCCGACGTACCTCCAAGAGGCCCGACGAGGGCCACGAGACGGTTCCAAGTGCTCCCGTGCCCACCTCCCCCAGGAGCCCAAAATCCTTCAAGAACCTGGGTAACAAAAAATGATGTGTGCCTCCTCGCCGCTTCGCTCCCCCAGACGGCCCCAAGAGCGCCCAAGAGCGGCCCAAGAGCGCCCCAAGAGGGCCCCGAGAGGAGATGTTGATGGCCCCACGGGGGGGGGGGGCTAACATCGGGGACCCCCCAATTTGATCGATGGCCTCCAAGATTGCCCCAAGGGGAGGGATCCCCAAGCGGGCTCCAAGAGTGCCCCAAGGGGGCCCCAAGACCTCCGAAAAGAGCTCCAAGAGGACCCAAAGATCCCCAAAAAGAGTCCCAAGAGGCCTCCAAGAGGCGATGTTGAGGGCTCTGTCCTTGTCCTCGTTGTCCTCCTCCTCCTCCTCCTTCTCCTCCTCATCATCATCCTCCTCCTCCTTGCCCTCATCATGTTCCTTTCCCTTTTCCTCCTCTTCCTCGTCGTCGTCGTCGTCGTCGTCGTCGTCGTCTTCCTCCTTCTCCTCCTCCTCCTCATCCTCCTCATCCTCCTCTTCTCTCGCACCCACGCAGGCTCTCCAAGGCCACCCCCGCGCTCCCAGAGATCTCTCTGGTCACCCTGGTAGTCCACCTGTTTCACTATATGTGTCTCTTCGCCCCCTCTTTCCCGTCAACTCCCATGGGCAGGCAACTCCCATAGGCAGGGCTTCTCAATGGTCTGGTGGGGATACGCGAAGCGTGCGTGAAGACGAGCTCAAGTACAAATCCTCGGACCAAGCGCCTGTCAGATCTCATCACCATTTGTTCAAACACAAGTTGGACCACACGCATCTTCGTGGCCGAACCACAGAACGCACGATGAAACGCCCCCCCTACTTGGACTACTCTGGCTGAGCATTTTCGTAAGGCGGAGGGCTGAGGGTGAAATCCATGTGGGCTTTTGTACCTCGAAAATCAATCCGCCTTGTGGGTGGGTGGCTTTCGGAGTGAAGTCTGTGTTGTGTAGCGGCCTCTGCGTATGCAGCGCCTGGCTCCGCTGCGACGTCACGACTGCACCCGCACGTGGTCAGGCACCGTTGATGGCTCGCACCCGGCAATCTTTCAAACAAGGCTTTGTCGCCCCGACGATGTCACCCGCGGGTTGTTCGTGCATCGACGGATCCACGCCCCACGCATCTGCGAATGGCAGGCGGGTGCGAACCCTCTTGACATGTTAAAGAATGTGTTTTCCTCTGTTGCCCGCGCCCCGTCCCTGATTGGCAGGGTGGTTCGCTACTGGTTGGCTGGCTCGCTGGTAGTTTCGCTGGCGGATTGACTGTTGGGCTGAATGGTTGGATGGATGGAGAGTTGGGTGGTTGGCCGACTCTCTGGGCCCCCGAGCACGCGACTGGAGCCAGACAGGTGAACGGGCACGCGACTGGCACGCGGCAGGTGTGCGAGCTCGCGACTGGCACCCGACGGGTAAACGAGCACGCGACTGGCGCCCGACAGGTCAATCCATAATTCTAGAATCGTTTTTTGCGTTCTAGAATTCAGTTCGTCGTTCTAGAATTGCTTTGACCGTTCTAGAATGTGTTTTTGTTTGCGCTTTATACTCTGTGGCATTCTAGAATTCAGCTCTGCGTTCTAGTAATATGATTGCTGTTCTGCGTTCTAGAATTTCGTTCTGCGTTCTAGAATTCTCGTTTTGCTTTTCTAAAACCGTCTCCGGCCGTTTGGTAGGAAACGCGTGGGAAAAACGGCGGGGGTCGGGAGTCGGGGGCCCATCGCGGGGCGGCGGGGGTGGCCCCGAGTGGAGCCCCGAGCGGGCTTCGGAGGAAAGTATGCGTACGTTTGCGGAGCCACCGTGCTCCAGCTTGGCGACATGGGGGACAGGGGCCTGAATTGAGAGAGGGCGACCTCTAATTGAGGTGCCGGCGACGGCGCGGGCTTGGTCAAGGGCCGAGCGCACGTGGATTCCAGAAAAGTGATGCGCCCCCCCCCCCCGCTGCCATCAGCGATTAGTGCGGGCGGGCGGCTGACGATAATGCTGGGGGATGGAGGGGCACGGGGCGGGAGAGGGAGACAGCGGAAAGGAATCTAAGCCTTGGAGGAGGAGGTGCAGGAGAAGGCGGAGGCAACCACGGGGGTGGAGGCGGAAGCGGGGGAGCAGGAGGCGGAGAAGGAAAGGGCGGGGGGGAGGGAAGCTGACGGGTGGCGATGTGTTGGGCGAAGGCGGCATTTCAGATTTCACCCTCTGCCCTCCACCCAGAAGAAAGTGCCCGGTCAGGGGGCACCTCGAGCCTGTCGGTGGGCCCGGCTTCCAGGAGCCATCACCCTGGAGAGCACGGTGGTCGCATACGTCCATCGTGGTTGACACTCAAGGCCATGGCAACCACTGGGCTAGAGGAGGAGGACGACGACGACGAGGACGAGGACGAGGACGAGGACGACGACGACGACGACGACGACGACGACGACGACGACGACGACGACGACGACGACGAGGGCGACGACGACGACGACGACGACGAAGACGCCCCTCCCGAAGGACCGCCAAAATGCCGCCAAACGCCCCCGAGGATCCGAGGGCCGCCGAGGGCCGCCGAAGGCAGCGGCGGCAGCGGGCCGAAACTGGCCCGATGCTCCTGGCTCAGCGCCGCACCCGCGCTCCGGCGAGAGGCGCGCTCGCTGCCGCGGGTGGCTCCGCGCGAGGTGGCCCTGCGCGGCCCCACCCGCTGAGGTTGCCCTCCTCGATCCTCCCCCGTCCCCCGTCGCTTCCCAGCCCCCCTCGTCCATCGCCTCCTCCTCCTCCTCCTCCTCCTCCTCCTCCTCCTCCTCCTCCTCACTCCTCCTCCTCCTCCTCCCTCCTCCTCCTCCTCCTCCTCCTCCTCCTCCCCTCCTCCCTTCCTCCTCCTCCTCCTCCTCCTCCTCTCTTCTCCTCTCCTCCTCCTCCTCCTCGTCTTCCTCCGCGTCCAAGTTTCTGCTCTTCCCCTCCACCTCCATGCTTCCCCCTTCTCCCCCCCCCCATAGGGGGGAAGGAGTCGCCGTCGCCGCCGCCGCGCCCCGACAGCGCCGCCAACGCCGCCGCCATCGTCGTCGTCGTCCTCGACGTTGTCGTCCTCGTCGTCGTCGTCCTCCTCCTCCTCCTCCTCCTCCTCCTCCTCTCCTCCTCCTCTCCTCCTCCTCCTCCTCCTCCTCCTCCTCCTCCTCCTCCTCCTCGTCGTGGTCGACGTCGTCGTCGTCGCGTCCTCCGCCTCCCTCCTCCTCCTCCTCCTCTCCTCCTCGCCTGGTCGCCGTCGTCGTCGTCGCCGCCGTCGCCGTCGTCGCCGCCGCCGTCGTCGTCGCCGCTACGTGGCTCCCACATCGGGGTCAGCCCGAGGGGCTTGGCCGACCCCCGTCAGAGGAGGAGGAGCAGGAGGACGACGAGGACTCCTCCTCCTCATCCTCCTCCTCCTCCCCCCACCCTCCCCCTCCCTCTCCTCCTCCTCCTCCTCCTCCTCCTCCTCCTCCTCCTCCCCCTCCCCCTCCTCCTCCTCCTCCCCCTCCTCCCCCTCCTCCTCCGACGGCGACGACGTCGACGACGACCCGCGCTGTGGCCCGGAGGTCCTGCGGCGTCCTGCCCCCCGCCGCCCCCCGCTGGGCGCCTGCGGCAGCGCCTGCCGCCGACGAGGCGGGCCGCGGCGCGGCGCCCGGAGGCACGGGCGCCCACCGCCTGCAAGGGCCGCGCGGGCGGGCACCGCGCGTCGCACGCACGCCGCCGCCGCCGCCGCGGCTGAGCCCTGAGAGCCTCGTCGTCGTCCTCGGCGTCCTCGTCCTCGTCCTCGTCGTCGTCGTCCTCGTCGACGGCGTCGTCGTCGTCGGCGTCCTCGTCCTCGTCCTCGTCGTCGTCGTCCTCGTCGTCGGCGTCGTCGTCGTCGTCGGCGTCGTCGTCGTCGTCCTCGTCGTCGTCGTCGTCGTCGTCGTCCTCGTCGTCGTCGTCCTCGTCGTCGTCGTCGTCGTCGTCCTCGTCGTCGCCGCCGCCGCCGCAGCTGAGCCCTGAGATCCTGGCGTCGCATTTTCTCGCAGCGGGCGATTATGCCCATTTTCGGGCTCCCGGACCCTCACAGGTCGATCTGGCTGGAAGAACGGCGCGGAAAGATGGGGTCTAGGGGTCGGGTCGTGATTCTCGCAACTTTACAATTTTTCCGATACGTCGGACCTCAGGGATGGTCGCCGGCGGCTCGATGCTTCTAGAGAAGCCCCTGTGCCCATCGGCATCAATGGCTCGAGGCTCGAGGCTCGAGGCTCGAGCATCGGGGCTTGAGGGGAGACTGTTTGGCCCTTTCTGGACCTCCAGTGGCGAAGGGCGGCGTCGGCCATCGTCGTCGTCGTCGTCGTCGTCGTCGACAGACTGGCCAGGCTGTCTTCGCGGCGTGCAGACTCGGAGTGTGGCGAGGGGGCCTTCTGCGAGAGCCCAGGTCCTCAGAGTAGTGGGCCCCAGGGATTCTGAGAAGGCCCCTCAGAAGCCGACGGTGGCGTCTCTGGAGCCCACTTCCTTGCTCAGAAGGCGGCCACCGCCCTCGCCCAGCCTCCTTTTCTGCGCGCCTCCAGAAGCGGGCGGTCAGGCCAACCTGCGAGCCGACATGGGGGTGGAACGAGTGACCACGGCCGACAGCAGATAACATGACCGACAACAGGCGATGACATGGGGACGAAACGGATGGGGACGAACACATACCGCCCACCTGACAGCGAGTTAGGACGCGTACCCCGCTCTGATGCACAGGCATGTGGGTGTATACACGCGTGCAGCCCGTTGAGATTACAAGCATCGCTGCGCTGCACAGCGCGTGAGGGCACAGCACAGCACCGCAATGACCTTCAACCCATGGTGCGACACTACTCTGGAGCACAAGGCGCTGCAGTCCCACGCCGCAACGCAACGCAGACGCGCCAAGACGCCAGCCCGAGCCTCTCAGCACAGCTTCCCTCACTCTTCGTTGGAGATCAGGTGCTAGCTGCTAGCCTCCAGCAATGCTCCCACCACCCACCAAGACAATCCCAGTCCAAAGACGAATAGACTCGCGAAGTACACTGACCCTCTGGGCGTACGTGGGTTAGCGGAGTAGCTACGGTCATCAGTGATCGTTCTTTTATACATTGTTTTGCCGATCGGCGCGGGCCCCCAAACCCCCCCTCCCCCCAGCCCATGGATCAGATCTTGGCTGTTTGGGGCGCCTCTTTCGAGCAGGTGGGGTCTCCCCTCTAGGACCCAGTGCTGCAAACAGTCGCACTAAGCAGAGGTCCGGAGCCAGACCCCCCCCCCTCCCCCCCCCCTTCCGCCCAAGGTCGAAACGCCGAATGAAAAAATGCTCACCTGCTACCACAAGGAGCACTGGATTGAAGGGGCCCTGGGACACACAAATAAATACACACAAACACAAAGATTCCCCAGATATTTTCCCATCTTTTTGAATTCTCGCCTTCCCCCCACTTCCCCTATCTTCCCACATCTTCTGGGGGAGCGACGATGAATTGCGTCTGTGAGTTTTTCCCCCTCCTGATGGCTCAGGGACGAGGGGGCGCTGGCTGGCCGCGGCGAGCGCCGTGGCCACGGCTGGCCTCCCCCCGACCTGGATCCGAGAAGCGGTCCGAGAGCCGGAGCCCCCTCCGGGGCCCAGCGTGGTCCCTGCTTCGGCGCCTTGGCCGCACGTGGGCCAGGACGGCGCGCCTGCAAATCTGCAGGGGAGGAGGAGGAGGAGGAGGAGGAGGGAGGAGGGAGGAGGGAGGAGGGAGGAGGAGGAGGGAGGAGGAGGAGAGGAGGAGGAGGGGGAGAGGAGGAGGGAGGGGGAGGAGGAGGAGGAGGAGGAGGAGGAGGAGGAGGAGGAGAGAGGAGGAGGAGGAGGAGAGGAGGGAGGAGGAGGAGGAGCAGGAGGAGGAGGAGGAGGAGAAGGAGGAGGAGGAGGAGGAGGAGGAGGAGGACGGGTCGCCTAAGCCCTTCGAAGAAACCGTACAAAAAGCTGGTCCCCAGAAGGCTGGACCCAGGCCTTGTCTTCTGTCTTGTCCTCGTTCTGCGGCTCGCTCTGCTCTGCCGACCCCGAACGAAAAGCGAAAATACGGCCGCAGTCCGGCGAAGCAGCGATCAGGTCCAGCCCTGCAAACCGGATGCGGCGCGCGACGCAGGAGCGGCAGCGACCGACTCGGGCAGCCCCTCGGCGAGGAGGCGACGGCGACGACCGCACGGCAGCAGGGCCACGGGGCGAGAGCCGAAGGCTGGCCGAAGGCCACCGCTGCAGCCGCGGGCGCGCTCTCCAGCGTCGACCCCGCGAACACAGATCCGATCACCGGCACCTCCGGGGGGTCGCGGGAGAAGATGCTCCGAGTTTCTCGATAAGCGTCGGGGGGTACCCCCCCCCGACAGGGGGTCAGTCTCGCCTCGTCGTCGCGCCGCGACGGGGGTCGGAGCGCCTTCGGCGCGCCGCGGCTGCCCGCGACGGGGGTCGACGTGGGGCTGTCGGCGGGGGTGGCGCCCCCCCGGGCGCTTACCAAGAAGCTCGGAGTAAGGAGAAAAGGAAAGCAGGGAGGGGAAGAACAGTGGCCGCCTCCTCCTCCCTCCACCCACCTCCTCCCTCCACCCTCCTCCTTCTCATCCTTCTCCTTGTCCTCCTGGGAGGGGTGGGGGAAGGGGAAGGGGTGGCGGAGGAAGCGAGCAGGAAAGCGGCGGAGCTGGGGGGCATCGGACCCGAGCAGAAAACAAGCAGGAGAGAATGACTCCTTCTACTGCCCGTCCACCTCCTCACCCCGTGTCGCTATCGATCCGCCACCGTGCCCTTGTGAAGGTCCTTTGTCTAATCCCTTGAGCCTCAGTCCTCACTCCCGAGGAATCTCTGAGGGGCCCCGACCCCAATTTCCCCAGTGAATCGCGTCGGATTAGCGAAGCGCCGCGCCGCAAATTTACCTCACAACATGCACACCGACTCCCGGAATGCTCAGCATCGGATTAGCGGAGCGCCGCTCCGCTAAATGCCCTCAAAACATGCGCGCCGACTCCTTCCCGGCCTACTAGAGCGCGCGCGCGGATCGCATCTGCCGCGCTGCGACGGACAAAACGCGCCGATGTCAGGAGTGCATCGCGTCGGATTGAAGGAGCGCCGCTCCACTAATTGGCATCAAAGCATGCGATTCGCGCGGAATGCTCCACGTCGGATTAGCGGAGCGCCGCTCCGCTAATTGGCATCAAAGCATGCGCGCCGATTCCTGGAGTGCCGAGTCGGATTAGCGGAGCGCCACTCCACTAAACCGCCTCAAAGCATCCAATTCATGGAGTGCTCCGCGTCGGATAAACGGAGCGCCGCTCCGCTAGTTCGACTCTAAGCATGCGCGCCGAACCAGCGATTCCCGGAGTGCTCCGCGTCGGATTCGCAGAACGCCGCCTCAAAGCATGCGCGTCGACATTGCTTGCGTCGCACCTGCCTCCAAGTGTCCCCCGAGAGGCTCTCCACGATATCCCAACGAACATCCACGAGGCCTCGCCCCCAAGAGGCCCAAAGAGGCCCCCAAGAGACCCAAAAGAAGCCCCAAGAGGCCCCAAAACGACCCCGAAAAGGCATCAAAACTGCCTCCAAGACGCAACCCGAGAGGGCCCCCACGAGATCCCAACGAACATCCAATAGGCTTCATACCAACAACCCAGGCATGGTGGCGGGATGGGCCGAAGGCCATTAGATCCGCCGCCCTCTGTCGATTCATCGCAAGGTGCCTGGCGTGCCAAATTATTTCGGTTTTGGTGTTAGTTCTTTTTCCAAAAGAACTCCCCCATGGGTCTTCGGCCCATCCCGCCGGCCACCCGGAAGATCACTACCCCGTCGATTGTTCGCTCCAGATGGCTGCAAGATGGCCTCCAAAACGGCCAAGATGGCCTCCAAGATGGCCTCCAAGATGGTCCAAGATGGCCTCCAAGTCCGCCCAAGAGAGGAGGAGATGCCTCCAAGTCCGCCCAAGAAACCTCCAAGACGGCCCAAGACGGCCCCAGAGGTGCCCAAGAGGCACCCAAGAGGCCTCCAAGACGGCCCAGGAGGCCTCCGAGAGGTCCTCCAGGAGGGCCCGAAGAGGCCAAACAACATTGATTTTCCTTAGGTTTCTAAAGGTTTTTCGTATTTGCTCCTTTTCGGCTTTGCGACTACCCAAGACGGCCCAAGAGGCCCCCAAGATCGCCCCCACAGCGCCCAAGAGGCCTCCAAGATGGCCTCAGGACTGCACAAGAGGCCCCCAAGACGGCCCCAAGAGGGCACAAAGACGGCCCAGGAGGCTTTTAAGACGACCAAGATGGCCTCTAAGACGGCCCTGGAGCACCCCAAGAGGGCCCCAAGTCGGCCCAAAGAGGCTCCCCAAACGGCTTCCGACGGCGTCAGACGGGTCAGGAGCCCACCAAGATGGCCGAAGTTGGCTCGAAGCTGGCCCAAGACGGCCCAAGAGGCCTCCAAGAGGGCCTCCAGGAAGGCCTGAAAAGGCAAACAACATTGGTGTTCCCTAGGTGTTTGAAGGATTTTGACATTTGCTTCTTTTCGGCCTTCCGACGGCCCGATACGGTCCAAGAGCCGCCAAAGATCGCCCAAAGATCGCCCAAGAAGCCTCCAAGATGGCCCCAGAACGGCCCAAGAGGCCCCAAGACGGCCCAGGAGGCTTTTCAGACGACCAAGATGGCCTCCAAGACGGCCCTGGAGCATTCTAAGAGGGCCCCAAGTCGGCCCAGAGGGGCCCCCCAAACGGCTTCCGACGGCGTCGGACGGGCCAGGAGCCCACCAAAACGACCGAAGATGGTCCTCAGATGGCCCAAGACGGCCCAAGAGGCTTCGAAGAGGGCCTCCAGGAAGGTGTGGGCCGAAAAGGTCCAAATCATTGGATTCCCCATGAGTGTTTGAAGGATTGTGGCATTTGCTTTTGTTCTGCCTTCCGACGGCCCGAGACGGCGCAAATGCACCCAAAGATCGCCCAAGAGGCCCACGACGGCCCCCAGAGGCCCCCAAGACAGCCCAAGAGGCCTCCAAGACGCTCAAGATGGCCTCCAGGACGGCCCAAGAACCCTCCAAGACGTCCTCCGAAAGGGTCAAAATGGCCTCCAGGCGGCCAAGATGACTGTCAAGATGCCCACGTGTTCCCCGAAGGCTTTCCAAACCGATTCGGGGAACACATGGTCCGATAGCTTGGCAGGTCTGGCCTCAACGTTCGGCCACATGGGCGCTTCCAGAAAGGCAGGGGGCGGCGGTGATTCGCCGTAGGCGTCTTAGATAACTCGTCCCTGCCGCACCCCCAGGAGAATTTGGTAGGGCAGGCTGTGCGCTTCGCCTGAAGCTTGAAGCTTGCAAGCGCTTCAAGAATGAAGAGCGGCTCAGTTTGGAAAATGGGGCTCTCGCCTTGGCCTCGCACACGTGTTTTGAAGGTCGCAACGGCTTCCAGGTTGGACGGGGGTCCTTTTCGAAACGGGGCTCCCGCGACAGCGCCGCGCACATTCGTCTTACAATGTAGCAACAACTTCTAAAATTGAGGGGGGGGTCGTTTTCGAACTGGGGCTCCCGCGAGACCGCCGCATACGTTCGTCTTAAAATGCCGCAACAGCTTCAAAGACAGAGGGGGTCGTTCAAAAAATGGGGCCCTCGCGAGAGCGCCGCGCACGTTCGCCTGAAAAGGCAGCAACAGCTTCCAGGATGGAGGGCGGCTCCTTTTCAGAGTGGGCCCTCGCCTTGGCGCCGCGGGGTGGCGGGCGGATCCCTCCTCCCATACCTGCATCTGCTCTTCGCATGCGCATTTCGGCACCCTCCTCGCACGCTTCGTGGCCCCGTGGGGAGCTCCACCGAAGGCCCACATGGCAGCGCCCGCTTAACGGCACCGCGCCCATGCCGGCACACCCCTCACGAGGATCGTGGCCCCGTGGGGAGCTCCACCGAAGGCCCCAGCGGCCGCGGTCGCACGGCGGCACCGCACTCGTTTCGCCGCCCCATGGGAGCTCCACCGCAGGCCTCAGTGGCAAAGTTCGCACGGCGACGCCGCCCAATTTCGGCACACCCCTCACGCGGATCGTGGCACAATGGGGAGTTCGACCCAAACAGGTACCCACGACGCGGTACTCACAACTGCACATGCTTGGGTCCTTCGCCCGGACATGTGCTTCTCAGAGCAGCTTGAACGGACGAAACAGCTGCACGAATGGAGGACGGCTCCTTGTCAAGATGGGGCTCTCGTTTGGTGTTTCCTCGAAGTTCATGACCAGGATTCTAAGAGGAGGAGGAGGAGGAGGAGGAGGAGGAGGAATATGATGAGGAGGAGGAGGAAAAGGACCTTGTCCAACAGTTGCACGGGTTGGGGCGATGTGTCTCACCTCGGGGGTCTCGCTGGGCCTCCCCGAACTGGATGGTCGTGCATGCTCGCGTTCCTCGGCATGCGCTGGACGCGTGGAGGGCAGCGCCTTCTCGCAACGAGGCTCTCGCCTGTATGGCGGACCCAGTGGGCGCCAGTCGTTCGAGGGGGCGGTACTTGTCGTTGAAGAGAGAGCTTGCAGGGACTTGGGAGGAGGGGGCTTGAGACGGGCGGGCGTAGTGCAGCATCGCCGATGCATCTTCGGTTTCATATGGTCCTACTCCCTTCCTCCCCTTCTTCCCACACCCCTCCCCCTCCGCTTCCGCCTCAGCAAGGTTCGAGGGTCAAGCGTTTCAGTGTTTCTCCTCATTCTGGGCCTTCGGAAGCCTCCAGGGGACGCTGGAAGGAAATGGGAGAGGACAAAAGGACGCAATCAAATCGAACGAAAGACCATCAAAACGTCGATAGAGACATGTACCCCCTCTGGGGGAGGAGGAGGAGGAGGAGGAGGAGGAGGAGGAGGAGGAGAAGGAGGAGGAGGAGGAGGAGGAGGAAGAAGAGGAGGAGGAGGAGGAGGAGGAGGAGGAGGAGGGGAAGGGGGAGGGGAGGAGGAGGAGGCGGACGACTCTAGGGGGCGGAGGGGGCGGAGGATGAAGCGGAGAAGCGGATAATTCAGGGCAGTTCAGGACGAAGATATGAACCTCCACAGGGACGGAGAAAGAGGACGAGGTGGAAAGAACGGGAGTCAGGGGAGGTGAACGCTGAGGAGAAAATAGCGGGTCTGGAGGTGCGGATGAAAACGGAGGCGGTGCCAAGGACCTGCATGCTGGTCAACTGTGAGAGCACATCTCCTTCTCAGGGGGTACTTGGTGGCACATGACACATCGGAACCCTTTCTCGACCATGCGGGTCTCGATTTCCACGGCCGTATTTGTGCTCGTGCCCGCGGAGTACTGCACGGCGACTTCGCGGTTCGCCGTAGTGCTCGTGAGACCAAACTCGATGCCGTCCTTGACGCCAACGTCGCCCTCCTCCACAAACTGTTTCGGGACACGGGTCGTAGTCGTGCCGCGCACCACTGCCTCGGCCTGAGACCACTTGTTGGCATTCACCAGTGCGGACACCAGCACATGGATGGCCGTGAAAAGTTCACAAGCCCCGCCTTATTGCCACTGTCCTCGACACTCGTCCCTCCGAACCCCCAGACCACACCAGCTCAGGAAATGCTGAACTTGCTGGGATCGCCATCCAGAGGCTCGCCGCGGAGAATGGAACTGTTCGTCTCTGGCAGCGGCCCTGTCTGCATACACAAAGCGACTGCCTCCACCAGCAGAGGCTTCCCCATGGCCCTCATGAGAGCATGATGTTCTTGGCCAAGCTGGCCCCCGCCGCTGTCCCTGGCGGCTCCCAGATCTGGGGTGCCCAGTGCTCCACGTCTCGGCAGGCAACGCCTGCGGGTGCGGCAAATCGGAAATCAAACTGACGAGGAGGAGGAGGAGGAGGAGGAGGAGGAGGAGGAGGAGAAGGAGGAGCAGGAGGCGGCGCTGGAGGACGAGGACGCACAGGAGGTGGAGGCGGAGGCGGAGTCAAGGCCTCCGCAACGAAGGCTTCCGAGGACGAGTCCCGAGGGCGCCACGGTGGGGGCGGCGGGCGGCGAACCAGATCCTCTCCCCTCTCAGACTGCGGGGCCTCGGAGCGTCCTCGTGCCACTCATCCAACTTTGGGCGCCCGAGTTATCCGGGGTAACTCGGGTCCGGGGTAACTCGGGTTTGGCTTCCCGAAAAAGGAACCCGAGTTACCCCTGACCCGAGTTACCCCTGATGATTCGGGGCTCTGGACGCCCGAATTATCCGGGGTAACTCGGGTCCGGGGTAAGTCGGGTTCGGATTCCCGAAAAACGAACCCGAGTTAGCCTTGACCCGAGTTACCCCTGATGTTTCGGGGCTCTGACACTCTTCGCTCCTGGCTTGCCAGCGCCTCCGCCGTCTCCGCCAGGCCCCGGGCAACGTTGGCGTCGGCTGCCTCCCCGGAGCAACGTCGGAGCACCAACCGGGGAGCGCGTCCCCCGCCGTCTCCTGCGCGCCCAGGCTTCCTACTCTGAACTTCGAAGCTCTTCCCGAGCGCGGGACCTGCCTAGATTTAGGTCGGGCATGTCACCTTACAGGCGGATTTTGGACGAAAATAAAAATAGTCCAAAAATAACCAAAAATAGCCAAAGATAATCCAGAATAGTCTATACAAAATCGTCCCCTGACTATTTGTTGACACTATTTCTGAACGTTCCTCCTGTGGAGGGACGTGCCCGCCTGAAACCTAGATTGGACTGGACTGGGACGCGGTGAAGCAAATTGTGAGCTACTCCGCACTGCGGCGCTCGAGCGGCAACAAAACCATCGCCACGGCTAAGTAAAATAGGAGGAGATGGAGAAGGAGGAGGCTTGGGGGGAAGGGGCAGGGGAAGGGGGAGGAGGGCCTCCTCCCATCGCAGCGCCACGCCTCCGACCGTGCTCCGACCTGCCTGGGACGAGAATGATGTCAGGCTGCGCTGCATGAGACCCAGAGCATCCAGCGGCCGTCGAACCTGGAGCCCGTGCGGAGCAACAAGCCATCCTGGAGAACCCCCGGAAGCCTCGGCGAGCACCGCTCCGTCGGCTGCCGCCGGCACCCGCGCGCTCGGAGCTCCTCCTGGACAACGGCCCGAGCTGCGCCCACGGCGCCCTCGCGCTTGAGAACGCCCTGGCCCAGCTCGAACGCCCCCATCTCGTTCGTGAGCGTTGGGGGCGGCCAAGGGGGTGGGCGTCCAAGAGGAGGGGGGCGCAAGTCATGGCCGGCGGCATGTGCGCGGCCCCAGGGGGGGGGCCAAGGACGCATTGGAATAAGAAGAGGCGCCACGAAATCTGGGGGGACATCATGGCCCCCGCCATGATATCCACCTTCCCCCCTAGTCATCACCCCCCTCTTGGCCGCCCCCGACGTTCGTGACAGCCCTGGGCCAGAACGGGAAGCCGTGCGCCAGGAAGCCAGCGCGAGCAGCTGCGCGGACGCAGAGCGGCGGCGGCACCCGCGAGCAGCCGACCGATGCCACCAGTGGAGCGCGCTGCTGCACCCGTCGACAGCGCCGCTTCCGCTGGAGAGGCTCTCGGCGACCGACTCATCCCCGACGCCGACCTCGCTCCCGGCTTCGGCCTCGCCGGCGGGCTCGAGCGTCGCGCTGGAGAGCCACGGGCGCGGCGATGCTCGGAGGGCATGGCCCAGGACCCGCGCCGCCACGTGGACCCCGAAAGCCAGCGGGGGGCCAGCAGCCTCGGCACCGCCGCACGTCGCAGCGCAGAGCGCGCCCCCCCGGCCGGCGCGGAGGACCTCGCCGTGGGCCCGCCGCCTCGGCAGCAGCCGCCGCTCGCCGCAGCAGCGCTCGGTGAGCGGCCGGCGCGGCCCGGTGGACCGCGGCGGGCCAGCGGACGGCGCACGGGCCGCGGGCGGGCGCACGCGCGCGCGGACGTCGACGTCGATTTCGACGACGGCTACGAGGAGGGCCACGACGAGGGCAGGGACGTCGACGACGGCGACGACGGCGTCGACGAGGGCGTCGACGAGGACGACGTCGACGCCGTCGACGCCGATGCCGGCGGCGGCCGAGTATAAACGGGCGAAGAACGGTATAAAATAAACTTATTCGCCGTCGGGGACACCTGCCCCTGGGCGGCTGGAAAGTTTATACCCTTACGGTGGCACCGTAGGGGTATAAACTTTCCGGCCGCCCAGGGGCAGGTGTCCCCGACGGCGAAAAAGTTTATTGTATACCGCTCTTCGCCCGTTAAGAGTAGGGCGGCGGCGGCGCAGAGGGCGGGGCGCGACGGCCTCGCTTTGGCCAGCCGTCGGCGCGCCCGCCTCGCGTCGCAGAAGTCGCCCGCCCCGCCGCCGAAGCGAGGACGGGGAGCAGGAAAACAGTCGGGCCAGCGGCGGGTTCCATTCAGAGGAACGAAGAATCACGCAAACATAAAAGCTCCGAGGCCCGCGCGGACTCCTCGGATCCGTGCTGGGGCGCGGCACCTCCGGCGCCGCCCCTGGCGTGCTCCGCGCGCCAGGGAGAGGGGGTCCAGCGCCGATCCGAGAAATCCGCGCGGACCTCCGAGCTTTCGTGTGGATGTCACTGTTCGTTCCCCTGGGAAAACAGTCGGGCCGGCGCCGGGCTCCCAGGGAGCTGCTGGAATGCCACCAGAGCCAGAGCACTGACCTCACCAATCGGCCGTGGAACTGCCGCCGCAGGGCCACTGTGAGTCAGGCGGCCTCCTGGGCATCACCCGAAGGGACTCGAACGACCCGAACGACCCGAACCACGACCCGAACGACCCGAACGCTGACCAGACCCTCCACGCCTCGGAGGGCAAAAACGGTAGCAATATCACGCGGGCCAGACGACCCCATCAGCGTCTTGCTGCTGGAGCAAGCTCGAGGTGTCCGTGCCACAGGCGATCGAAAAACGACCACGGCTTGAAAGACGACGCGCGCGTAACAGATACCCTTTACCCCTCCACTACTCTCGGGGGCGGCCACGAGGGGGGCGTCCGAGAGGGGGGGGCGCAAACCATGGCCGGCGGCATGTGCGCGGCCCTCGGGGGGGGGCCAGGGACGCAGTGAGACGAGAAGAGGCGCCACGAAGTCTAGGGAAATGTCGTGGCCCCCGCCATGACAGTGACACCCACCCCCCCTTGTCATCACCCCCCTCTCTTGGCCGCCCCCGACACCCACGCGCGTCGCCCGCTGCCAGAGGCGCCCCCGGCCGAGGCAGCGGGGCGCTGCCGAGGCGGCGCGCGCGCCGGGGCCGCTCCGGGGCCCCGGCCTCGGGCGGGCTGCTGCCGATGGGCGGGGCGCCTGCTCAAGAGACGCCGACGGCGGGCCCGCGCCGCACGCGCGGATCCGCAGAACGTGCGCCAGCGCCAAGGTGTGTGTGCCCACTGAGGCCCTTCAAGACGACGGAGGCGACGTCACGATCCACCAGCTGGACTGGGCGGGGTGGACACACACAGTGGGCCAGCGCACGTCCCGGGGACCACCGACGCACGCGCCGGCCGAGAGGTGCAGCCCGGGCCCGGCAGGCGGCAGCGGTGAGGCCCCGGGCACTCGCTCTGCCAATGGCGTGTGCTGGCCTCTGCAGCGCGCTGGGGTCGGCTCGCTTTCTCGCCGTCGGTGGGCGCTGGCCTTTGCGCTCCGCGGAGACGTCCCCGCGCATGTGGCCACAGCCACAGACAGAAGCTCGCGTCTCGCCAACCTTCCCTGGCCCCCCGACGCTGCGCATGCCGAGCAAGCAGCGTGTGCCTTCTGGATGGCGCGCCCAACGCTGGCGACGGTGGTCACGCGAAAGAAGCCCAGGGCTTCCTTTTTGTTGTTGTTGTGTGGTCGCTGCTGCCTGGAACCGTCACCACCAGCCCTGGCTGAGCCCATCGCGGGTCCTGGGTTGGCGTGCAGGCCCTGCTGGCCCAGGCCGCAAAGGTGCATGCACCGGCCCAGCACTCAGGACGCGCTGGGCCAGGCCTGGTGGCGTGCAGCTGCCAGCTTCCGACACTGCGCCCCACCAGACGCGGATCGCCGGCTCGAGCCGAGCTTGAGCCGAGGCTGCTCACGCCTCTCGAGCGGGAGGGGGGCGGGGGGCGGGACAGAGAACCGAGGGCGCAGGGAGGAAGGAGGGACGGCGGGGCGGGGAGCAGAGAGCAGGGGATGCCTGCCGATGGGGCGGAGCAGAGCTGAGCATGCCACGCTGGGAGCGGGAGAGAGGAGGGCGGAGCGGGGAGGCCAGGCAGGAGGGCGGAGCGCCCGGAGGGAGAGAGGGCTCCTCGAGCCCTCCTCGCCCGGCAGCACAGGGCGAGGGCGGGCCTCGGTCGAGGCGAGGATCGGCGTGGCCTCCGCGGGCTTCGTCTGGGTCGCCTCTCCGATGAAGAGGCCTCCGACGGGGAAAGAAGGCGCAGGCCTCCTCCTCCTCCTCCTCCTCCTCCTCATCCTCCTCCTCCTCCTCCTCCTCCTCCTGCTCCTCCTCCTCCTCCTCCTGCTCCTCCTCCTCCTCCCTCGTTCTCCTCCTTCCTCGTTCTTCTCGCATTCCTCCCTCTCTTGGCGGCGCGCATAAGAGGGTAGGGGGAGGGGGGAAGGCTTCTTAGAAGGAGGCTGCTTCTTAGAAGGCGCCGGCCCTATATCTATAGACAAGGCCCGCGCCTTCTAAGAAACAGGGGTGCTTCTAAGAAGCCTTGCCCCCTCCCCGTACTTTCCTCTGCGCGTGGCCGACCGATCCTTCCTCCTTCCTCCTCCTCCTCCTCCTCCTCCTCCTCCTCCTCCTCCTCCTCCTCCCTCCTCCTCCTCCTCTCCTCCTCCTCCTCTCCTCCTCATTCCTCTCCTCCCACCTCCTCCTCCTCCTCTCCTCCTCCTCCTCCTCCTCCTCCTCCTCCTCCTCCTCCTCCTCCTCTTCCTCCTCTTCTTTCTCCTCCTCCTCCTTCTCCTCCTCCTCCTCCAACTCCTCGTCGTCGTCGATGTCGTCGTCAGCGGCGGCGGAGGGGAAAAATAACTAGTTTCCGTTGTTGTCGGGGCCCCAGTCCGTCAATAAGATCGCCATAAAAATATGTTTGCTTCCCCACTGTTGCGGAGGTTTCTTGTTTTAAACTGTTTGTGCTTATACATCTACGTGTCAGTATGTATGTATGGAGACTAGGTATGCGTCAGAGACTGACAAGCATCAGACCTGTACCCTCAGGTGCGGCCCTCTGCCGCCTTGAGGCGTCCTTGAAGGGTCTCGGGCTGGGACCCAGAGGCCCTGAACGCGCAGAGGCCAGGCGGTGGCTGGCGCCGCCCAGCGCGGGCGCGCGCGGCGTTCGCGAGAGCGCGCAGGTGCTGGCGAATCGGCGTCCGTCGTCGTCTGCCGTCGTCGTCTGGCGTGTGTGTGCCCTGTCGCTCGCTCGCTCCGTCGTCGCCAGCGCCGTCGTCGAGCACTGTGGAGGGAGGGTCGAACGCCCCCAGAAGGCCCCCAAGAGGCCCCCCTGAAGCCCCTGAGAGCCCTCACAGAGCCCCCCCCACTTACAGACTTGGTGCTCGCGGAGTCAATGCTCTGCTCTCCTAGAGCTTTGCAGCGTCGTCCGCACCTTGCCCCTGCATGTCCTGCACGCCCTCCTGTGCTCAGCTGCGTTCTTGTTCCTGCTCTTGTGGGCACTGCGCAGGCCAGACGAAAGCTTGAGAGGTCCCTTCCAATGTGAGCCAACCCCCCCGGAGGCATCCCAAGAGGCCCCCGCGTGCACCCAACGAGGCCCCCGAGCCACAGCGCGGGCACGGGGTGGGCGGGACGGGCCGAGCCGCGCCGCCGCCCCCCGCGGCCGCGACGCCAAGGAGCGCGCGTCTGCACGTCCCTCTCTCCCTCGCGCTCTGCCTCTCCCTCTCCAGACGCCCCCCCGCACTTGCAGATTGGGTGTTCGCGCTGTCAGTGCTCTGCTCCCCTAGGGCTTGGCAGCGTCGTCCCACCTTGCTCCTGCATGTCCGAGCTCCGTAGCTGCCTCTGCCTCTCGCTGACCCCCTGCTGCCTTCAAGACTCCTCTTCTGCCTTCCCTCCCCTCCTCCCTGCTCTCGAAGCGGGTTGGAGAGGGGGAGGAGAGGGGGGAAGGAGGGAGTCAGTAGGGAGGAGAGGAGGGAGGGGAGCGGCAAGAGGGGAGGGCAGAGAAGATTAGCTGCTAGAGTTAAACAGGCACTCCTGGCCTCGCCCAGCCTTCCGTGAGGGAAGGGTAGCGCCGCGCGGGCACACTGAAAAGGCGCCCCCCGCCCGCCCTACCGTCGGTCCACAAGAGGGGAGAAGGAGGAGGAGGAGGAGGAGGAGGAGGAGGAGGAGGAGGAGGAGGAGGAGGAGGAGAGAGGAGGAGGAGAGACGGAGGGAGGGAGGAGGAGGAGGAGGAGGTGGAGGGAGGAGGATGAGGGAGGCGGAGGAGGATGAGACCACCATTCCCCGCTTCACTTCTCCGAAGGGGGAAGGGGAGGAGGGAGGGTGTAAGCAGGGGAGAAGTCTGGCGGAGGAGGAGGAGGAGGAGGAGGAGGAAGAGGAGGAGGAGGAGGGGGTAAGGAGGGGGGGAGGCGAAGTGGGAGGGGGAGGGGGAGGGGAGCAGAAGGGAGAAGGAGACAGAGAGGAAGAAGCGGAAGGTGCGGAGGGGAGGGAGGAGGAGGGAAGGGGAAGAAGCTTCCCTCTCCCCATCCTCCTCCCCGGCCCCCCGCCGGTCCCCCCCCCACGCGCGGCCAGCCCTGGCCTGTGCGGCGCTCGCTGGCAGGCGCCGCCGCGGGGCTCTGCGGGGCGTTCAGCGCCACGGCGGCGCGGGGCGTGGCGCGGCGCCCTGGCCCCGCCCCCATCTGTGCCTGTGACCATCCTTGGAATATTAACTGGATCAATTGCTGCTGAAGTCCAAGGCTCTATGAACTCAGTGGCCTCACACACCGACTTCGGACCCCCGTCCGAGGAGACTGACTACAGGCGGTGCCGCTAGGCCCTCTATGAGTTTGCTACGGCTCCAGACCCCCGCTTGGAGATCGGCCCGTCTTGGCGGTCGCTGCCCTGCCAGAGCCGATGAGGTCAGCTGGAGTTGCTGCATGGCCACGCGGTGGCGCCCAGAAACTCCGAAAACCGCCCGGAGCACTCACGACGAGGAGAACCAGCGGCGAGCGAGGGGGGCAAGGCGAGAAGGAGGCGGCCTTCTCAGAAGGCGGCGGGGATTCGCAGAAGCCCTTGGGCCTTCCGAGAAGGCCTCTGCGCCTTCGGGGAAGGGATCTAGGGCTCTAGGGCTCTAGGGCGATAGGGCTATATAAGGCTGTATGGCCCCCCCCCCCCCCCGCGGCCGTCCGCCCGAACATCCCTCCCAAGGCGGCGACGACGACGACGACGACGACGACGACGACGATCACGACTAGGACTACGACGACGACGACGACGACGACGACGACGACGACGACGACGACGACGACGACGGCATCCCCCCCCTGAGGTGCAACGACAAGGGGGGACTGGCACAGGGAGGGAACATCGACCTGGAATCGGCGATGCATCGCCGATAGATCGGCGATGGGCCCCCGATGGCGACTCCGCAGGGTCCTGGGCAGGGTGGGCCAGTTATCGGGCCCCTACCAGCGATCAGTGGACAATTTATCGGGGGCGCGCAAACATGGATTAGCGATCCATGGATTTGGCGCGCGGTCGTCAAATCCATGGATCGGGGGAGGTGCCCTCCCCAAAATGCGGCCGGTGCCGCCTCGTCCAGCGGCGGAGATCCGCGATTCCCCATGGAAACGAGACCCGTCGCTAACCCACGCCCCCTGAATCCATGTCCGCGATCGCCTGAACTTTCGAGTCGTTGCATCCCCCCCCTGAGCCTGTCCCCCCCCCCCACGTTACCCCTGACCCCTGGCATTCCTGGCAGTTCTCGCTCCGAGCAGCGTCTCACCAGACGCCCTTGAGCGCGGAGGGCCCCGCAGCAGCCCACCGGGGCCGTGCGGGCACTCCAACGACGGCCCCGGGTGCCCGACCAAGAGGAGGGGAAGGGGGGAACCAGGGACCACTCCCCTGATCGGCTATACGCAAGAGTGACCCTGGGTAAGAGTGACCTTTGGTGCGCGGCTTTGGGGGGGTCGCGGGGAGGCCGAATCCAGGCGCGCTAGCCGCTGCTGCCGCTTCGCGTTCAGCCATCCGCGGGCCCAACTGTGCCCGCACCAAAGGTCACTCCGGCGAAAGGTCACTCTTACGTCTAGCCGACCTGACCCCTCCCCAAGGATCGGAGGGCCAGTTGAGACAGCACGGCGGCTCTCCCGCCCGGGCCCACGTCTGCTCAGGCTCGGTCGCTGGACACCCTCCCAGGCCGCTTCGCCACGCGGATCCAGCCGACACGACGAGAAGCCTCCAGGAGGCCCACGACACGTTGCTAAAAATAGTCCAGACTTGTACCAGAGTAAAACCCCAATCGGAATCTTTTTAGGGCTGTAGGGCTACGGGGCCATGGGGCTATAGGGCTATGGGACCACAGGGCTATAGGGCTATAGGGCTATAGGGCTAAAGGGCTATAGGGCTAGAGGCATATAGAGCTATAGGGCGATAGGGCTGTAGGGTTATTGGGCTATAGGGCTATAGGGCTATAAGGCTATAAGGCTACAGGGCTGTAGGGCTGTAGGGCTGTAGGGCTATAGGGCTATAGGGCTATAGGGCTATGGGGCTATGGGGCTATAGGACTATAGAGCTATAGGATTATAAGGCTATGGGGCTCTAGGGCTATAGGGCTATAGGGTTATAGGGCCAAAGGGCTATAGGGCTATGGGCACCCAGGCACCCCAGGCACCCGGGCGGGCCGCGGAAATCGGTGCCCCACCTCACCTAACCATATGAACCCGCTGGGACCCCTACAGAGGCAAGCTCCGATTGGGGAAGATTCAAAAATGCCCCAAAATACCACTTCTACTATCTCTGAAGATCCCTCCTGTGGAGGGACGGGCCCGACGTAGGCGAAGGACGAGCAACGCCAAGGACGAGAGGCCTCTGGCAGGCCCACGCACAAGGCCGCCGCTATCTCGAGCGGCCCTCCTCCTTAGGAGGGCGACTCGGGAGCCCACAAGTGACGCACGCGCCACAGCCGCGCACATTAGACACGGCCCCAGCAGCCTGCGAGGCCAGCCTCGTGATACGAACATTCGCGCAATGCGCACTCTCGAATCCAACGTAGACTCCATGACGCACGCGCCCAGCCGCGCACGTTAGACACGCGCGTTCCACTACTTCGGCTGCTGCTAGAATTGCTGCTGGGCCAAGGT